ATGTGTAAATGAAGGGAGTGTGATGGACCTGATCAAATCTAGTACTTAATTTAGGATGGAGGGGGTTATTTTAGTTTTAGAGCCCTGACAGCATCTATAAGCATCTGTCAATTTAGAGATTTGTCAAATATTTAACCTTAAAGAATATGTTCAACAAAGTCCTAGTCGTTCTTGAGACAAGTTTCCATGAACATTGAAACAGGAGATTTATGGATGTAATTGTTCTAATGAGGACAGGAAATAATGTAAAAAGGACATGTTGTATAAAGAGAACAGTGCTGAAGTCTCCTAAAAACTGAATAATCTATTTATTTATGAAATATAAGGTCAACGATTTAGATAAGGTGGTTGGCATGTGTCAATGGAGCGGGTTTTTAAAATGTTTTGAATTTCATGTGCCTGAGAAAAATATAGGGAAAGATGTCTGAGGCTTTGCAGTTAAGTGCAGTGTTATGAAGCAGCACCACTAGGACACTTTATCATAACAATGATAAGAGAGATTTATGGGTAAAAAAGAAAGCCAAGCTCAAGGGTTTGAAATAAAGTGTGAGTCTGTGAAGAAGGAAACCTGTGGAAGAGATAGAGCGGCAGAGAAGGAAAGGATCCTCCCAGATCCACCCGAGACAGTTTTTCCATGAGCCTGTCAGCATGAGACAGCTGTGAAGAGAGGCCTTTATCTTACTAATGCACTGTATTACAGCAGGCCTCTTGGAAAAAGCCCTGTCTCTGTGCGGCTGGATGAAAAAGATCCGGATTGGATCCCCCCTCCTCTGAACAGATTAGGATCCTGTGAGCAGTCACACATTTGCAGCCGCCACGTTACTCTTTGAAGCCCCGCAAGTGGCTGTCCACGCCATTAAACATGGAACAGAAGCACGGCCCCTGACGCCGCACCCAGGGACCAAGAGCATAGGGCAGCCTTCTTTGAGGCCTCTTCCCTGAGCTCACTGATGATCTGTAAATAAACATGTTTAAAGTCCCTCAGTGATAAGTGCCCGCTTGCTTTGTGCCATGTTTTCTTTTGGAATTAGATGAAAAGAAGAGGAGGTGATGAAGGCATAACAAATTAAGAAAGGACTTCCTGGAGTGTTGGAAAAATAATGCTGGGCCTTTAGGATGCAGAGCAATCAGGAATCACAAACAGGAAGTGACCTCAGATCCTCTGTGAACAAATGCCAAAGGAGTATTTGTAAAATGGATTCAGATCCTGAGAGACGTCGTCCTTCTGGGACATGGGTGTATTTTATCTATAATTCCCAGCCAGGAATGGAATGATTAAACCACATTTTCCCCCGCTCTGTAATCTCAGACCTGTGGCCATTATTTTACTCAACGACAAGACTGAAAAACATATGAATGGATTTCCATGCTTTACAGTAATAAAGGGCGAGACCTCGAGTCAAGAGAGAAGACCTTTTTTATATACAAATCACAAATCTATGCGATTATGTTACAACTATAGTTACTGATGATTGATGAAGAAATACTGGTGGAAGTTTGTTTTTGAGCTTAGAAACAAGCACCACATTTCTACTCAGGGCCTTCACTAGTTGTGGAGTTTTGACCACCTCATACAGTCTTTACAATCAGAATCAGAACCAGATTTGCTTGTATTACTAAGTAGGTATACACATACGAGGAATTTACTTTTGTATATGTGGTGCAGACAAATACACAGTAAGAAAAAGAGGTCAAACAGAGAAATCACAATAATTGGAGTTTGAATATCACCATGCTAACCCTGTTCATTATCTGCTTATGAAATACTGTCAAAGAAGATGCTTCTTAAATCCTAATATGCTTTTGATGACAGCACTTAAGGGTTGACTTGAAATGTAAATGATAGGAGACCACTTGATAGTAAGTTTGACACTAGTTGTTGTTGATCATTAATGAACAAACAAAGGTGGGCCAGAGGAAATACTTCTGAGACACTTTGACTATTAACCTCACTAAGATTTAATATCTCTCTTCCAAAAATGTATTATACTGTATGTGGTAGCAATTCATTTGTTACTTGAAAATCCGATCCATCAATTAAAAGCTTCTCCATTATACTGTTGCAGTAATCATAGAAGGACTGTATGAAGGTTAACAAAATGTGTACGTGTCGTCAACACAGAGTACATCTCGGAGCTGTTTTTAGACAACAACCTATTTTTTTTTTCACACACTGCATTGTCCTGAAGCATCCTCTGACATATTTATATTCTCAGGCATGTAAACAGTGCACCATACACAGAGCTCTTCCCTATAGGTCCTTGGGGACGCCGAGCAGCACCTGTTACCCTTCACAGAAAAGGATGTCCACACAACAATACAGAGAACCTATACTTCTCAGAAATAAAACACAGGGATATACAATGTTAAATATAGATTTCAGGACACTTGTCCCTGTGGAGCCTCCATCTGATACCATTGTCCCTGCGTACATTAACACCCAGACTCACACAAAGCGGAATCTTTTAGCAAAGTTTGAAGAAAAGGTCGGGGGCTAGACAAAGGTGGAGTATCTCCACCACAGTGCCTTCCTCTCTGCTTACAAGGCTTCCCTCTCACTGAAACCAGAGCAGAGAGAAAGATCCCAGCGGCATCTCCGATCTGTCGTCAACAAAGGGTCAGAGTCTGGTCCTCTTTGTCAGGTTTTGTTTCAGATTTTGGCTTTGTGAGAGATCTAGAGAGTGTGTTCTGCAGAATTGGAGAATCTCATTTTTAGATAAACTGAAAGAGGTTAAGAAGTAACAGCACTACTGCCCCCCCCTGGCAATGACAGCTATTGCACTGACCAGGGAGAAACGTGTTGCTTTATCTTTTTAATATTTGCATGCCAATACAACAAATAAGTTAAAAAAAAAGTACAGAGATAATAAAAGCACCATGCTCCAAAATGTAATGTTAATGTTAGCAACAAACTGGTTTTATGAGATTATACACACACATCCTAATCTGTAACAAAGTAATTACAATTTCAAACTGAATGGGTTACAAATGTTCCCAGTTTTCAATTCAGTTCTTTCTTTGCTGTTGAAGATTATAACATTTCCTTAATTCAAAACCAGTGGTAAACAATGTTATCCTGTAAAGAAAGAGTGAGCCAACATTATGATTTATCACCATAGTTATACATTGATTTTGAGATCACTGTTCAAACCAAATATCATTTTTGCTCATCATGAAAACATTTTCCTTTTCAGGTCAAGAAACATTTCCTAGATTGGTTTCTCACATATTAGGGCGGAATATCTTTCCAGTGTTTGTTGTGTTTTTGCGAAGCTGCGGGGCTGGCAGGCAGCAGCGAGGTGCATCCTGGACACTTCAGTTTACACCCAGACTGCAGCTGTGTCAACAACGTGGCCCACGCCAAACCTCGGCAGATTCTCCTAATCTGTCGGTGTATTACTGAGCGCAGAGATAAAGTAGATAAAACGTTTGTAATGGCACAAAAGCAAAAATGTAAAACTCCCTTCCCATGTGATTACTGTGGTTGAACACTAAAACCTTAATCAACCTTCAAAGAAAATACTTTATCATAAACTGTATCATTTAGAGTAAATGTAATGCCTTTGATCATCATTTTCCTCACTAAGATTGGAATTTTCCACTGATCCAGACTTTGGGGTGTGTTTAATGAGGTCAATTTAAAGGGTACTCCACCAGGCTCTCCTCTCTGAATCACCATATGGAGCTGATCTGCTGGGGTTACATTAAAAGGACTGGGCTGAGGACAGAGGTCATAGGTCACTGCGGGTCACCGGGGCCTCACCAGCACCTTCACACCAAAACAGTCTGAGGTCGAATCAGCAGCCTCGGACACCGGGCTCAGCTGAAGATTTATTGGTTAAGGCGGAGCTTTTCACATATAAATTAAAACCCTGTAAAACCCCTCTATATCTAAATGTATTACTTAAGTTCACCTGCAGTGACTATTGGTATTTTTCAAAGGGAATATCGCAATACTAAGCCTTAATTCTTATATATGCTCTCTACTGTGAAAAAGGTTCAGCTTTATCAAAGGAAAATAAAACATCTGGTAGCACTCTGGATAAACGTCTTTATAGCAGAGACTCTTTATCAGTAAGTGACCTGAGCTGCTGGTGTTCTACGCGTTTACCTTTCAACTCGCTAAGTGGATAATGTGGTGAAGGTCAGAGGTTAATCCAAGGAAGCAGACTCACAGGTCGTAAAGAGTTCCCTCAACTACTTCAGTTCCTCATTTGAGGATCATAGTGAACAGTGATAAATCCTGGAGATAAAGGTGAGAAAGTCCAGGGATCCAGTGAATATCTGAAGATAACAGATAAATGTGAATATGGGATAAGTTAATTCAAACATTTGTCAGAAAAAAGAAAATCATGGGTGTTATGAAGAGCCTTTCCTTACCTTTTTTTCAAATATTGTGCCATCAAGCAGTGGCAGGAAACAAAACAAAACATATTTAAAGCTGCTATTTTCAGTATTTTAGTTTTTAAAATGGATGGACATTTATGGGAGAGTAGGAATTGTGACCTGATCCAAAATGTTTGCAACTTCAGGCTCATTGTTGGAATTTCACGGTCAACAACTTTTCCGTTACGGTTCACTGCTCATATCAGCCATTTTCTAATGGTGCTGTTTTCACTGAAACACTGCTTTAGGTACTGCCAAGTTAAACATGTTTGCAAAACAACATTTGAACTTTAACAAAAATATCCCTTAAAAAACTGATGAGATCATTTTCAGTGCAGCAGCTGGTATGTCTATTGAAACATTTCTCATATGTTTTCTTAGTAGGTAGTTTCATCGATGTTGGTGCTGATAACCACACTCGACCTGCCACTCCATTACAAGGTCAGAGGTCAGAGGTCAGTGTCGGACCTCAATACTGCTGACCAGTGCAGGGTGTGTGTGTGTGTGTGTGTGTGTGTGTGTGTGTGTGTGTGTGTGTGTGTGTGTGTGTGTGTGTGTGTGTGTGTGTGTGTTTTGGTGGGACATTGGGACACAAAAGGCCTGAATATCTGCCATTACTGCCACATCCACTCTCCGTTCGACACTTCCTGGGTATCTGGTGTTACGAGCCGCCTGAGTTCCCGTGATTGTTTCTTTTTAACAAGGCTTCCAACTGCAACAAACTCTGGGAAGAAGCCGGTGAGGACAAATGTGGAGAGGGAAACACGCAGCACCCGAGCTGAGTTGTTATCAGTGATGGCTGGAAACAGAGGAGGAGATACAGTAGTTCATTGAGGCACAGGAAGCAGCAGGGAGAAGACCATACGTCTTGTATTTTGTGGGTTGCCATTGAATCGAATATTTTAGGTTAGTCTCAGAACAAAGCTAGGAAGTCGGACTGATATATGATCTGGGGTTGCGTTCGGATAGTTTAGAAATCAAACTAAGTTCTAACCCTATCTTCTATTCCTTGACCTCTGAGTGAAACGTCACGGGGTTAAGGGATAGTGGATAGGAGAATTCAAAAGGATTTAGGAGAAGAGACTGCGGTACTTTAGAGAATCCGAATGCACTTTCACTATCCGACGTGTTGATGATGCGGACGTCATTTTGTGCGTCTGCTGCTGTGGGGAAACTATGGAAACTACAGTTTTATATACGGCGGACTACATGGATGTTTAATAAGAACGAGGGACGCATCTAGAGACTCTGCACCGTGCTCTGATGCTGTTGTTTTATGCTTTATGAACGGGGACAACAGAGAAACATATTCTTCATGACCAAAGTTGGATTTGAAATAAAAAATGAAAGTGAAAGTTATGCTCGTCACCCTCTCCCTACGGTCCACATTAATACAAATGATCCCAGTAGGCCTATGATTGTATGAACTATGAAAATATCTTAAAATCAATACAAATGTATTTATTATAAATGTTAGTCTTTAACACCTATCACTGTGTATATCACCATTCAAACATCTTTTAAAAGTTGAACAAACCCCACACAGCTCAGTGAAATGTTGACTTTATTTGATCATTTCAGTAAAAACTAATGTTCATATTTCTCTTTTTGATTATAATACTGATGAACGTTCAAAACAAAGCACTTGGCAACTTACCACATACGTTTTAAAAAGCTTAATAAGCACCGTAACTTTCATGATATCATTTCTCCGTCATAATCGTTTGTGTCCGTGAACGGCCGACTGTTGTGTGACGTCACATGCTGCGGGTGCAAGGCATTGTGGGCAGCATTTTCTCCTCTCCTTTCGGTTAGGGAGGTCCAGTGGTTCCTAAGACTAAAGGAGGTTATAAAGGAAGTTTGAAACCTCCTTTCCTAGCATTCTAGAGAATTCGAACGGCACTTATCATGGCTGCCACTGAGGGACTTCCGGGTCATTTCACTCCGTTAGGAAGGTTCCTAGCTAAATGGACTATTCGACTTCAGCCCGGGATACATTAAATCTGTGCTTAATCAAGACGCAACTTGTATCTTTTTTTTTGTATATATGCCTAGGTAAAATATACTAAACATAACCATATTCCAATATGATGTGATCCCTTGTGTTCATTATCTGCTAGCCCTGGCCCAAGTATAACACCTACGCTTACTTATTATTGAGAATGCTCAAAAGAACAACAACATTATTAAAGTTACAAGAGTAAATGTACTTGAATGTACTATCACTTTAACCCATATGTTTAAGTCAAGTCAATTGTATTGTTGGTAAAAACAGGTTTACTATTGTTGGTAAAAAGCATGTAAAGGTTTCAGAGAACTAAAGAAAAGTGTGAATAAAATTATTTTATTATTATATTATGATATAACAGAAGTCTATAAGACTATCCTCTGTGAGTGTACTTAAGGTGGCACACATCTTGGAGCTAGGAAATGTTAGTACAATTCCTTCTGAAGAAATAGAAGTGTTTGTGGTACATCTGCATGTTTATTCCCATTTTTGTTTCCCCACTCTTGTACAGATCAGTGTCTGTGTGTTTATATGTGCCTGGTTGCGGTCTTTCCCTCGACCCGCTGCTTGAGTGCCTGAGGCCTAACGTGTGCTTGTTTTTACTGTTGGCTGCAGATGCTATCATGTGTGATTAGTGCAGCGTGTTTGTTGGCACACGCTCTGTCTGATAGCAGTTACACTCGTCACTGATGTGAGCTGCCCCGAGGAAAAACCCCTGCACCTGCCTTTGTCTCAGCCAAATATACACAGGTAGGTATTGTGAGCAGGAGGGAATTGTTGATGTAAATGGAATAATTTGCACAGAGGAGATCAAGTTATCATGGTGCGTTGAGGCTATATTACCTTAGGAGAAAAATTATACAGCCCTTATAAGACAAGTAAGATCACCGGGTCGAGGCCGAGGGGGTGGGACCCAGAGGATCCCTGATGCAAATATGTGTGAAATTAGGCAGGAGATTGTTGTGGATTACAACCAGCGTGTTGGCGCAAAGCACCACCTCTGGGGAGGATTCAGCCGCTGCGACTCACCGTTGCACTCATTAAACTGATAAACTGTTGGGACTTGTTTGTCCAGTCCAGCAGCTTAAATGGCTAGAGGTTCACAGTTATGGTCCATTTATAATCGTGGAACCGTTTGAGGTGGAAGGAGCATTTATGATTTATCTTGTTTTATGTATTTGTTCTTATTACAATACATTGTTGTCATTTGCTTATACTGTATGTATGTAATAACATGAGTTTATATTCAATTTTAATGACTGTTTTTAAATACCATTTTCTTAATGTCTTTCATTTTTGTAAAGCACTTTGAATTGCCTTGTGTTGAAAGGTGCTATATAAATAAACTTGCCTTGAACAAAGTGCACCTGTTTAATTAAATAATAAGACGATATAAAAAAAAGAAGCATTTCATCTTAACAATATTTTTGTGATGTTTGGCAGCTGGCACCGCAACACCCTCATGAACAAGATCCTCCAAATAATTATTCAAACTACAACCACAGTAGGCCTTTTTTAGGACATGTTGACACGTCACTGTGGAAGGATGATGAGTTCATGTTGTACTGGGTCTTGATGTTGCTTGATGCTCAACGCTAAAGTTATCGTTGGATGAGAAAACAACTTTCCTTTAAGAACTTCTTTTTTAGAACAACAAAAGAATCCACATCTATTTTGCAGCATCAAATATTAACTCCATAGCTCAGAACACGAAAGTGCCCACGGATCATCATTGGAGAAATCATTTAAACTTTTTCATCTCAAGATTTGCTCATGCAATGTAGAATGATTTTCTGGGTCTCCACTGGCCTAGATCAGGGAGGGGAAAATGGAAACCTGCCAAAAAATGAGCTCTGATTTTAAGATTCCTGCCTTAGGTTAAAGACAATGAACTATACTGGGCTTTGATGTGCCTTCATATCGAGGCAGAATAACCTTAGCTCCTTTGACCAAGCTAATGATGTCTGCGGTGTGTTAGCATACAACAAAGGAGGATCTGTAGCCACATGGGTACCTTTAATGAGTTGTATTTGTTTTTTTTTATCCCCCTCCACCTCCTACTCACCTCAGAGTAATGAAGAGGCAGGGGTAGCGCGGGCTAAAGTATCAGCCTTCTCCACACCTTCGCTGAGCTAATTATCCAACCCTCACAAGGATCATCTCACAGCTAAAGGGAAAGAGATTTATCCTCCTCGCTCCACAAACATTATTCTTTACCAACCTCCTTTGTTAGTCTAAATTGGAGTGAGGCTAGATGGGAATAATTTAACTTGGCAACTATTCACATCGACAGAACTCATATACCAGCTGCTGCTTTACGCATATAGTGCTTCAACCAACAATATGTTTTCATCCAACTAATGTAAAATGTCAGGAAATATTGAAAAATGTCCATTCCAGTCTCTTAAATTCCAAGATGAATACATTAAATGTCTTGTTGAGTCAGTCCAAAACCCAAAGATATTCATTTGAAAAGCCTAATGGAGGGGCTGACAACACCATTTTGTGCTATATTTGTACGAAACATTACTTTAAAGGTCAACTATTGTGCAAAATCCACTTTTTCATGTATTTTATACATAAACATGTGTCCCCTCTGTGTAAAGAGATTCTGAAAGTTTCAGGAAAAAAGATTTGCTCACTTTTTCCCCTGATCCATTTTTATAGAAACCTGTCTGAAAATGAGCTGATCAGATTTTGGCCACTTTGTGATGTCATAACGTTGTTTTGGCTTGGGTAACCATTAGCCAATCACCAACCAAGCCAAACACTTCAGAGACATGTTTTGTATATAACTGAGAACTATAATATATTGATGAAAAACAATATAATAGGGGACCTTTAAGGATTAAGAATTTTTGGAAATAGTGTTTGAATATTTGTTCTGTCACCAAGCTGAAATAAAGGACATCATGAGCTAACAAAGGGTGAAATAAATAGGTGTGTGTCAAGAATCGATAAGGGTATACTAAGTCAGAGAACCATTTCAACTCGGAGAACACTTCCCCAACTTTTGTGTTAATGCTGCACAAAACCAAAAGCATCGTATCTTTCCAGGGCTCAGCGTTAAACCTTAATCCATCTGTTCCACTTTAATTTTTCAGTCATTTTCACACTCTCAGAAGTCTATAATCACTGACACAGACTTGTGGAAAGTGTGCCTTTTTTACGGTATCGGTCTCAGCTCTTTCTCCTCACAATACGCTCCCTATCTCTGTCTGTCGGACTGCAGGACCCAGTCCATCCCCTCCTCATTAAGCATATGTCTCATTTTCCATTTCAGACAGGAGATAGCATAGAAGTGCACACAAAAGCACTTTTTTCAGGCCCTTCTGAACATTTCGTCTTAAAGTCTAATGAGAGCGGATCAAATATAACTGACACCGAGGGGAGACAAAGGGAGACGTAGCTCTGGGTAAAAGATGAGGCGAGGTAGAACAATGGACCTTAATGTTCCGTCACTGCGGCGGTATGCAGCAGGACGAGTGAATGCAGATGATTCTGTAATGAGGGATTAAGTGGTGGATTATGGGTCTTTATTAAGATGTTTCTGATCCTCATTAGGCTGAATCTCGTATCAGGGCATCGATTCCCCACTCGCTCGCTGGATTGGCTGTTCTCTGGAGGAAGAAGAGAGAGAAAAGAGAAAGAAAGAGTGGGAAAGAAAGACAGAGAGACATGTGCCTCTATAATGTTGCTCTGAAACGTGAAACAAAACCTTTATGTATCTTGTTGAGATTGTTGCAGGGGTTATATGTGCATTTTTTTATAAAACTTGAACTAAAGTATACTGAAAACACAACAATTATTGTTATTGAATGCCAGCTTTCACGGTTATTTGTCATAAAGTATTGGACAAATAAACGTTTTGAACTGATAATGGTGCTAGATGAAAAGTCACAGGTTCACCAAGGTTTTTTCAAATCATTCTAAGGGGCACATGTTTGTGTACCGAGTTTCTAGACAATCTATAAAATATGTGTTGACCAGCAAATACTTGCATTGACATACCCTAAACTAGCATGGCTGAAAGATACTAACAGGAATCATACAGTATATCTCACCTTCATATATGTCTGTCCATTTGAATTGGGTTGTTTAAAATTTAAATTCAGGGGAAAACAACCAGGCTGTGTGACTGACTGGCATATTTACACTTGACGCATTTTTTGTTTTAAGTGTTCATTAATGTGCATTGTCCCTGTCAAATAAACGATTAATAGGAACTGGACTGAGGGAAACACCCAGTCAAGCAGAAACAAACCAAGACGCTCCAAAGAAAAATATTTACATCTCATAGCAACTCTGAATAAGACTGAAGCCAAATTGGAGCAGTGTTATTACATCCCAGCTATTCCAGTATTTATGTGACAATGTCCAAGTTTACTATGAGAGACTCAACAAATTTGAATTTCACTCAGGATAAGACTAAACTTCCTCCAGCTCAGTTCGACGATTTCAGCTGACAAAAGCCACGATTTACAACAAGGAGTCCAGCAGCAGTTTGCTTCACTGCTACTCAGCTGCAAATCAAAAAGCTTCACAGATGGTAAACAGCCCCAGTGCAGCACACATGGACATCTACCTTCACACTCCCTTTATTAAACGTACAGTCCTTTTTAATGCATCAGATCTAAGAAGAAGAAGAACTGAAATGACGAGAGCAAAACATGCATATATGCTGCCCCTTCTGCCTGGAATAATGTACAGAAGGAGCTGAAACTGTCAGATGTGATGGGGGAGTTCAGGTCCATCTTAAAGGACAGAGAACAAAATACTCTTGGTCAATGTGATTGCTCTTATATCCCCTAATTTAAGTTGTTTTAAAATTGTGCCAGTTTTGATGCTTTATAAGTTTATTTTATTTGCCTATTGACTGGATAATATGCCATTTCATTTGTGTTTTACGACAGCTGTAATTGTCTGCCTGTGTTGTCTGTGTTTTATTTGTTGTAACTTTGTTCATGCGGCCCACCTCGCTCTTGAAAAAGAGATTTTAATCTCAATGAGACTTTTTACCTGGTTAAATAAAGGATATATATAATGAACATGGTCAGAAACAGATACATGGTAACAGAAGGGTACATTTCCAGAAACGAGGGGTTACGTATGGTAACCCTTGTTATATAAACACAGGCGGAGCCCTCTACTGGACTCTATTGGTACTCCCCTCGATCCTATCATGCAAACATTCATCCACTCCACTGAGACTTTCTAGACGTAGCCGGCCCCTGGGCGGGCCTACCTGAATGTGCGCGCATCTCACCGCATAAAAGGAGGCCTCGCCTCCTTACTGTCATCCTTTACTTCTCTTCAGCAAGCAGCATAGGACAGACAGGGCCCCGAGTAGAGGGCTCCGCCTGTGCTTATATAACAAGGGTTACCATACGTTATATCTCTCACGGCCCCTACACACGGCGGCGTGCGTTGCCGCTTCAACGCTTCTGCCCATTCACTTTGAATGGGGTGACGTCACGATTCGCCGAACTGCATTGTGGGAGTAAAGCGTAGCTTCTCTCGCGGTGCTCGCTGCAAAAGTAGAGCAATGTTCTACTTTTGACGCCTCGACGGAGGCGTCAGCCAATCGAATCATATGCCAGTGCAAGCTCTAGCCAATCAAGCCGCGTGCTTGTGTGTCTGGGGCGGGAGATTCATGTGATTGGTTTTTGGTCGAGTTTCCAGCCCCCCCCGCCCCACACCTGTCAGGGTTCCCAGTGACGTCACCTCTCGTAGTCAGGAAGAAAGTGTAAATGACGTTCACTTGTCGGTAGGTGGAAGTAAAATTAAGTCACATCAGTCAAGACTAAGGAATCTACCCCGGGAAAAAATTACTACGTCTCTCTTAAAGAAGTTGCTCGGATATTTATCTTCGATCCCAAAGTATAATTAGTATCAAACGGTCCCGACATTCTTATTTAATTTACCCTACTCTTTAATCTAAAAACAAAACAACCATATATTTACATAAGTACAGGACACTACACCGACGACCTAGAGGATACGAGGACACACGCCTTCACCCTCGGCCTTTGAAATGGTATTGTTTGCTTGTACAACGAATTTGTAGAGGTCCTTTACTATAAAATTACGTAAGACCAGTAGATTGTCGTGGTAGATTAATGAAAGTAGTTTGACTAACCTTTTTTTTAGTTTTTGTTTAATTAAACAAACTTATCTCTTTAAAATCTGTGTCACTATGCAGTAGTAATGAACGAATAGACTAATTTATTCCCAACACCTTTACATGTAAACTCAAAATCAATTAATAAATTATCTAATGGAAAAAGTTTTATAAGCTATCACTAATATAAAAAAAAAAAAAAACAAATAAAAAAAAAATTTCCCAACTCCAAATTGTCGAGAAGATACTTACATATTCAAGTCTGAGAAGGATAGTCGGAGTACCACTTTGTGTCATAACGTCTCACAAATTACTTTGGCAGTGTAGAGTACTAAAGCGTGACGAGACACTGAGTGCACAGGAGAGGAGTGGCGCGCGATTCCTTCGATTTCCATTGTTTGTATGTGCGCCTTTAGCTATATATTAGATGAAAGTAGTTAAGTTGTCTTATAGTAATTTACATCAGCGACTAAAGACGTAAACGTCCTACGCAGAGGACATTCCATGGACCTCCCTGCTTCAGTAACTACGTGACGATACCAGTGACCAGCCACCCACCAGTGTCTTGGTCACGTTGTGACTCGTCAGAGGAAATTTTACTGGTTGTTGTACAACAACAAAAAACAATGAGAAAATATAATTTCATTTCACATACATTTCTGTTAGCGCAATACAAGACAGTCAAAAATAGCTGACACAACGTCCCAGACAAAGACACACAGTGACAAAAAATAGACGTGTACAGACATCCGAGCTTTCAGGTTTTCTAGGCAGATTTCCTTTTTTGTGGACATAAATTTGACCCGACGGTTTTGTGGAGAAAGGTTTCATGGATGTCAATGTCCTGAACACACACCCGAGCACACACACACACACACACACACACACACACACACAACACACAACACAACCCCACACACACAACACCACAACACACACACACACACACACAACCACACACCACACACACACACCACACACACATAAAGAAGATCGATAGATTGAGACACACCTCTAATCGCAATAAATCCTCAAATGTAACGCAACAAAATATTGTAGCCTGGTGTAACATCTCCTCGATTTTTAGACTGACCTAGAGACAGTGCACTGCTAGGGTGGACAATTACCGCTACATTATCATGGTTCCATCTCCTTGCACAGACCAATCTACTATCTGTAAAATTTTTAGGAGTGCCCTTTTCGTATGCCCACGTTGGATGTAATTTTCAGAGCTCATTGTTCGCTCGTGCCGTGTCCCGGGTCCCATAGTGAGCACAAGGATCAGTACATTCTCAAGTCATGTAATATATTTACGAAGTATATACGTAAATCAGTTACATATGTTTACTATCTATTATATTATCATAAATTTCTTTGATACCCGGTCTCTTTATAACCCAAATATGACTTACTTACTCCGAACGTTTTTTTCTCTCGTTCACTTACAGTGCAAATCTTTACTTAGAAACATGTACGACGACTTAAACGCCCAGCACCCAAATTTTGTCGTACTCGACATGTAGACCTATGTCTCCCCCTGGTTTATCTTTGTTACGATAAACAAGCAAATCTCTCTCATCCTAGTTAACAAACCCCCTACCGCTGCAGTCCATTTTTCACTAACCCTCTTTTTGTCTCACGTCAACTTTTTAAATTCTACATTTAGTCTCTCTTACCGTTGACAATTGAAAATAACACCTAAGGAATTTTTTAGTCTTGAAAAAATGTATCACATTTAGTTTAACAGAACATATAACCGTCCGATAAGACGAGAGAATATGCACGGAGAGTGTGCCGCGC